AATGCACTCACTTCTTAAGATGATATAATTTGTTTGTAGCTACCTTTTCATACCCATTAAAACATTGTTTTAAATAGGCTTAATTTGTATTTATTTATTTTTTTATTTCAGGGGAAACCTATCTTGAATCGTATTAGCACTGCTCTACATGTCTTAGACGACGCCCCTCCTGGTTTTCTGGATTACGTCATTGTTGAAGACTAGCTGTTTAGACCAAAGTAACAACAAAACAATTATTAAGCAATGTTTCCCATTTTTATACATCATAGAGTGTTTTATAAATTGATTAATAATATGTTATTTTATCACACTATAAACTTTGTCGTGGCAGCTGGATGGTAAATACTGGAGAAGTCGATTCAAGTTGTCATTTGTACAACAATTGATCACTAAAAATGGTTCTTAATTGGAGGGGTGTATAATTAGAGGTAAACCTATATGCTATTGGATTTATACATTTTAGTTGCATTTTATATTAGTATTTCTTGCTGAAATGTTTTTGTTTCCGTTTTAAAATTTCATCCAGCATCTGTAATTTCTTCTTGGAGATAAAAGATGTTCCGATTCTCATTCCGATGGTTCCAATTTTGACACTAAACGCGTGTACAGTGATTTGATAGGCCGCTTTTGTTAAGTTTATATTCGCAAACAATTGATAAATGATTATTTTAGGCTAAAATGGAATTTATTTATAAAAAAATCCAAGCGGAAAGAAGGTACAAGCATAGTTTAAATTTGGCCTCAGAGATTCTAAAGAACTTACATCATTTAAATAATTAGCTCCTAATTACGTTAAATGAACCTGTTAAATGAACCAATGTTAATTAGTAATTGTGCATATTTTAGCAGTTTGTAATGCATACCTGTAGGTAATTGTCAAATACTCCAGACTCAAATAGAACAACACGTAAATATGATAATCAATGTTCACTAATTTAATAAGCATTTAAGCCAAGCCACAATACGAACAAACTGTACATTGTACTGCCATGCACTGTGATACTATGTGAGCAAGTATGAGCTAATAACTGCTTTACCCACTCTACTCCCACACTCGTCGCAAAAATAACGATGTCAAATACTCCAGACTCAAATAAAACAACACGTAAATAAGATAATCAATGTTCATTAATTTAATAAGCATTTAAGCCAAGCCACAATACGAACAAACTGTACATTGTACTGTCATGCACTGTGATACCATGTGAGCAAGTAAGAGCTAATAACTGCTTTACCCACCCTATAAGTAACAAACAACACTTGTATGCAAATATGATTATTAGACCATACCAAAGTGATACACTACAGTAATAATAAGGTAGCTTTTGACTTAAAATTCAAATATAATTTATCTTGCTTTTCATTGGTCAGTTTAAATCTTCAATTTGAATATTCTGGTATTTAGATAATGTTTTCAGGCATTCATAGACTATGTTCATGTTTACGAAGCTGTTTTAATGGACATGGTGCAATTTTTTTTCTTCTAACCCGTACGTACGCCTTATGGGTTACTAAGGTGTACGTACGCCTTATTAAGGCGTAAGTACGCCTTATGTAACCCGTACGTACGGCTTATTAAGGCGTACGTACGAGTTAGGAAAATTTAAAAAATAAATGCACCATGTCCCTTAAACAGTTTGTACATTTTTAACAACTTTCATTAATTAATTTGTCTACCCACACCCTCCTGTGTTCTTGATGTTGTATGTACATTTGTCTATGTAAAGTATACAGTTCATGATATTTATATGTGTGTTTTTAAATAAATTATAATTCTTTATTCTTGTTGGCTATGGAAACTTGTTATTGTCTTGGCTCATCACGCACGAGAATGACGTTTAGCTTATAAAGTAACAAGAAGTGTACTGTACTTGTATATTTAGGCCTACTGAACGTTCATAAAACCACAGTAAGAGAATGGGTATATAAAGTAAAGTAATTGGAGAAGCGAATTTAATCTTGAAACATATTTATTACAGGAATGTTAACTTGCATTATTGTTAACTTAGCGCCTTCGATAAATGTTGAATTGGCTTATCGATTAATAACATTATTAAACATTTGCTAATTAACGCTTTATAATAATGGTGACCAATCAAACACCTTCGATACTCCAACAACCAAATTTCGAAATCACAACAACCTTCAACAAGCATGTCTAGTACTAGGCCTATGTAACTATTAATTATACGATTATATGTAGACAGCCGGACATTAAACCATGTTACTAAAGAAAAATTATTCACTGATTTTTACATGTAGGCCAAAATTGTCGGAGTAACATATTTGTACTTCTACTCTAACACTGATGAAGTACAATCCTCTTTCATAAGAAATAATTACAAAACATTAATATAGAACTAAAATAATGATATGAAAAAGAGTTGAGAAATGCTCTATTTTTAATGGATAAAGGAAGCTCTACATTTCGAGATTTTTGGACAGAATCAATTAATTCGATTAAAATTTATACATAAAATAACAGCAATAATGCAATAACAAGCCATCAAAAAATAGACAATAAAAAGCAAAAATATTTTCATAGAACGATAATCGGAAACAAAAAGAAAAAAAAGTCATTTTTATTAGAAAATATATTATTTCCTTATAATAGGCCAAAGTGATTCAATATGAAAATGCACACTTTGAAACGATCATATTTCTGAAAATTGCAAACTATAAATATGGCTAATTCTCTCCAGTTAATTAGCCAACATGTACCATCAAGTAACAAAGGGAAAAAAAATTACTGCATATATAAAAACATAAAAAATATATTACCAACGACCAGAATGACTTCAAAAGAGTTTATTATGGAAATATGGCACTCCATTTTATTGCCAAACAAAAATTATGCCCTATTAATTATAATATGTACATAATTTTAATATATAAATTTGGAACGTTCAAAGGGAAATAAAATTATTGCATATATATAAAAACATATAAAAATCTATTACCAACGACCAGAATGGCTTTATTTATGACAATATGGCACTCCACTGGATTGTCAACCAAAACTTTTTCCTGATCAATTATAATATAAACATAAATTTAAATATAAATTTGGAACATATACATGTATATTATTATATATTTATATAAATATATTTGTGTATATATATATGTGTATATGTATATATAGATAGGAT